GGACTTGAATATTGGCCTGCCTTGCTAGGTTGGGGAAATTTTCCTGGATAATATCCTGAAGAGTATTTTCCAACTTGGATTCATTCTCTCTGTCTCATTCAGGTACACCTATCAAATGTAGATTAGGTCTTTTCACATAGTCTCATATTTCTTGAAGAGTTTGTTCATTCCTGGTTACCCTTTTCTCTCTAATCTTGCCTTCTTAGTTTATTTCATTAAGTTGATCTTCATCCTCTGATATCCTTTCTTCTGCCCGGTCAATTCAGCTGTTGAAACTTGTGCATACTTTGCGAAGTTCTCGTGTTGTGTTTTTCAGCTCCATCAAATCACTTATATTCCTCTCTAAGTTGTCCATTCTCATTAGCATTTTGTCAAATCTTTTTTCAATGTTCTTAGTTTCTTTGCATTGGGTTAGATCATGTTCTTTTAGCTCAGAGAAGTTTCTTATTATGCACCTGCTGAAGCCTGATTCTGTCAATTCATCACACTCATCCTCCATCCAGGCTTGTTCCCATGCTGGTGAGGAGTTGTGATCCCTTGTAGGAGGAGAGGCGTTCTGGTTTCAGGTGTTTTCATCCTTTTTGTGCTGGTTTCTTCCCATATTTGTGGATTTATCCACCTGTCGTCTTTGTAGTTGTTGACTTTCAGATTGGGTCTCTGAGTGGATGTCCAGTTCGTTGATGATGAAGTTATTTCTTTCTGTTTCTTAGTTTTCCTTCTACCAGTCAGGCCCCTCTGCTGTAGGACTGCTGAGGTTCACTCCAGGCCCTGCTTGCCTGGGGATCACCTGCAGCTGCTGCAGAACAGTAAGGGTTGCTGCCAGTTTCTTCTTCGGCTATCTTTGTCCCAGAAGGATACCTGCAAGATGTCAGTCTGAGCTCTCCTTTATGAGGTGACTCTTTGGATATATGGGGGTCAGGGAGCTGCTTGAGGAGACAGTCTGTCCTTTGTAGGAGCTCACATGCTGAGCTGTGAGCCCTGTTCTTCATTCAGAGCTGCTGGGCAGGTACATTTAAGTCTGTTGCAGCAGAACTCATAAACCCTTTTTTTTTGTTTTCCCAGGTGCTCTGTCCCTGGGATTTAGGGCTTTATTTATGAGTTTCTCTTGTACTGTTGGCTTTTCTTAGGGCTGCCCTGCCCAGCCAGGAGGCAGCCTAGTCACTGACTGCCTGCAGAGGCTTTGGTGAGCAGCTGTGGGCTCCACCCAGCTGCCATGTGAACTTCCCTGCAGTCCTGTTTATACGGGTATAGTTAGAACTGCCTTGGTAATGGCGGCCCACCTCTGTAACGGTGGACTCTCTCTGTAATGGTGGGCTGCCGCGGCAATGGCGGGCTGCCTCAGCAATGTCGGACTACCTCCGTAGAGGTGGACAGCCTCAGTAATGGCGGATGCCCCTCCCCTACAGAGCTGGACCGTCCCAGGTTCAGCTGGTACTTGCTGTGAAACTCAATCCAGAGCATTTCAGATTGCTTTTTTGTGTGTGGGGTGGGAACCAGCCAAGCCTGATCACCTGGCTTCCTGCCTTGGAGCCCTTTTTTTTTTTTTTTGAGTTGAATGGGTGACTGTTTTCCAGGTGTTCCAGTCACCAGTTGAAAAGGCACCAGGATCTGTGTGATTTCCCATGCAGCGATGCACTGCGCCAACTGAAACAGCCTCACTGAATTCGTGGTGCTTCTTTGCCTGGGAATCTCCTGGCCTGGCTCCCTGTTTCAGTCCCTTTTTTTTTAATCAGTTGAATGGGTGACTCTGTATCCCAGGGGCTCTAATCACCAGCTAAAACAGCACCTGGACCCATGTATTTTGTGCGAAGAACTGCCGCACCAGCCAAAACAGCCTCACCGGCCAGAACAGCCACACTGGTAACCCATGGGGCTCCTCCGCCTGGGAATCTCCTGGTTTGTGGACAATAAAACTCCATCTGGAATTGCGATGTCCACTCAATTTCCACACTTTCGCTGGGAGCTGCAATCCTGAGCTGCTCCTAATCAGCCAACTTGAATCTGTCCTCCACGCCTTCTACTTTGTATGTGGCAATGGCATATCCCTTTTTGTGAGTTATTTGTGTACATATAGTATATCTTGAATAAGTGCACCCTATGTATGTCTTGAATAATTGTGCTGGATGAGTCTCCTCCAAGGAGGATATCCTCATTGTAATGTCATGACTGCTCCTGGGAAAAGTTGGATATGGTGATAGTCTTGCTGGCCAGTTATAGGTGATTTACAGCCTTTTAATGATAAAGAAAAAGGGAAACTGACTGAGATCCTATTGAACTAGGCATGGAATGAAGCATATTTATCAAATATATGATTGCAAAGTATTTGTTAGTATTCAAATATATTAAGCAGTTTTTAATAACCATGGTATGAGGTTCTAAATGTGATGAGCCCTGGAATTAAGATTATAGTAAAATGTGAGGCATCATTAATTCTTGCTAGGTTTAAAAATAGTCCAGACTGGGCTTTTAAAGGGAGAAAGAATGGAGACAATCAACACTTTTCTAAATAGATCTTTCATAATGGAGTTTAATCCTTAAAGGCCCCATTTAAATCTATTTTGGGCAGTGCTAATAATTTTAATATGTTGAATCAGATTCATGGTGTCCCTTTTTGTCAAGCCAATTCTAAAGAAATAATTTTATGTTAATTTATCAATTGTTAGATAAGAGTAGCCATGCCTAGAATGGAATGGAATATTTTAGGAAATGAGTCTTAAGACTATGGGGTATTGATATGGTTTGGCTGTGTCCCCACCCAAATCTTATCTTGAATTCCCACGTGTTGTGGGGGGGACCTGGTGGGAGGTAAGTGAATCATGGGGACAAGTCTTTCCTGTGCTGTTCTTGTGATAGTGAATAAGTATCATGAGATCTGATGGTTTTACAAGGGGGATTTTCCCTGTACAAGCTTTCTCTCTTTGCCTGCTGCCATCCAAGACATGACTTGCTCCTCCTTGCCTTCTGCCATGATTGTGAGGCCTCCTCAGACATGTGGAATTATAAGTCCATTAAATTCTTTTTCCTGTGTAAATTACCCAGTCTCAAGTATGTCTTTATCAGCAGCATGAAAACAGACTAATACAGGGATTTAGTACCAATGCTTAAGATGGGACATATGTATAATAATATCTATATTATATTGGGTAACTCCTTAAGAGTGCAGAAGTGATATTACTTAAATTTAGTGAAATATTCTGTTATACCTGCAACTTTTGCCCCATTGTTGATTAAGGCTATTATGGTTTACATTGGTGCATTTGATCTGTTGTTAATCTAGAACCTATGATGTGGAGAGAAAATAGCCAATCAGTGTCCTTTTAATTTTTCTGTAAAAATAAATGTTAGATTTCCATAGGGTTAAATTTTAAAGCACTTTGAGAGGCTGAGGTGGGTGAATCACAAGGTCAGGAGTTTGAGACATGACTGACCAACATGATGAAACCCCGTCTCTACTAAAAATACAAAAATTAGTCAGGCTTGGTGGTGCATGCCTGTAATCACAGCTACTCAGGAGGCTGAGGCAGGACAATCGCTTGAACCTGGGAGGTGCGGCTTGCAGTGAGCTGAGATCACACCATTGCACTCCAGCCTGGGCAACAGAGTGAGACTCCATTTCAAAAAAAAAATTTAAACCTTTGTTTTAGTTTTTGTTCTTGCATCTCACCTGCTCCCCTCACCACCTCTTCTGGCTAACCTAATTCTCTCTTTCTCTTTTTGGTTGTTATCAGGCATACTTTGGTGGTAGTGGGTTTGAATGAACTCCTTGGCTGTACAGTGTTGTTATGGGTGCTCTTCCATGTAATTCTGTTTATCAGGATCATTTTTAACTACACAGGTATAATCAGCAGGAGTAACAAAGGCATTTTCTGAGGTCCCAGTGGACCATCTATTTTTAGGAGTGTGGATGTGAGCATGCCACACAATGACTACCATTCTTCATACCATTCAGTGGGATCATATATTGCACTGATGTCAGTCTTAACCCTGAGTGCTCTTTACAATGACGTGTGTGTGCATGTGTAGGGTGGGGGATAATATCTAATTGAGACACATAACCAGTGCTCATAGGGAAAGAGTTATTCCACTGAGCTAGTGTCAGCCACAGCTCATGCTGTAATTGAGAAACACATTTCCATCTGAGACATACAGATAACTTTGGTTTGAGTCACATGACCCAGAGCCTGAAAGGAGGGACCCAATTTGTCATTCCTGTCTCACAGTGAAAATTACTGAAACTTCTGATTGATACTTGAATTGAGATGAGAATCCTTCCACTTTGGCCTGGTTTGCTTGGTTTAAAGTTCTCACTGGTAACAAGGGAGAATGAGTTGAAACTTTGTTCCCAGTTTGCCCAGATGAGGCACAGAGAGTAAAGAAGGAGCTGGGTTTGGAAAACAGCCAGCAATCAAACTCCAAGAATGGAGTCAGACTTTTTACTACACGGGGGTTATGTGGGGAGTGGGGACAGGGCTGGCAAGTAGAATAAAGGGGATTACTATTTTTTTTTTATTTTGCCTTTTAGAACTTTTTGACTGAATAAAAACCTATTTGTAGGTATCATTTTAAGTAATGAAAATACATTTCTCTAGAAGAGAAAAGAGAATGGGCTCTGAAATCAACCTTACCCATATTTAAACACAAGCCCTATAGCTCATTATGTGTGCAAAGTGGACAAATTATCTCACACTGCATTAGTCTCTGCTGTCTTACCTGTAAAAAAAGTGTAATAGCTGTTTCTTTAAATGAAAGTTTTAAGTGGAATCTTTTATAACTTTAAATTGAATAAAAGTGCCTAGATAATTATAAAGTCTCAGTAAATATTATCAGATTGTCCAATTGAATGAATGAAAAAGAAAAACAAAACAAAATCAACATAAAACTTTAAAAGTAAACATTTTCATAAATGTAAAATTAATAGCATGAAACTTAATGTCATCATACTAATGTTAATCCATGTTGTATGATATATTTACCTTTTTAACCAATTGGTGTTTTCTTAGATACTAAAGACAAGGAAAAATCATACCAAGTTATCAGGTGGTTTCCTGAAGATTATAGAAAAAGAATTAAGGAGCGTTTCAATAACTACATAGAAAAAGCATTGGATGGCAGGTAACTTCTTTTTATTCTATGAACCAGAGTCACCATTTTTGTGATACAAATAGAGAGATGCATGGTAGTTGGAGTGAGTTTTAGAGAAATGGATGGGTGGGTGATGGATAGATGGAGGAATAGGTAGTGTGTGAGTGGATGAATGGATAGTTGGATAAATTAGGGGATGGAGACATAGAGGACAGGTGGATGGTTGGATGGATAGAGCAATCAAGGTTTGCATTCCCAACAGTTGAGTCTGTATTGTCCTTCTTCCATTATAAGGGTTCTATAGAAAGTGGGAGATTGCTCCTCTGAGCCTTCCTTACAACACTTCACCTATAATCTTTGTATGTATTCTCCCCAACAAAGAAGCTAGGATCTTCAACTTTACTGTTTGTCAAGAAAAAAGAAACACCCCTTGTCACATATTTCCCCTCCTTTGCCTCTCATAGATTCATTAATGGAGAAAACTCTTATGAACATTGGCTTTTTCACACCTTGAACCTTCACCTTTTAAACTCCTTAAGAACAATCAAATACCCTGTTGATACACAATGAGAGATGAGCCTGAGACGTTTTGCCCTTATCTGGAATACAAAGAATCTCCATCTGCCACATAAAAGAGGAGGAACACAAATCCATGCCTCTCTTAGTTAATTACAGTGGCTTCATCCTCTTTTCCTTCCCTGAAAACTCTACTCAATAGTCAAGGTGGTGCTCAAATCTAATTATTCCATAACGCTTGCTTCCTCGCTCCAGCTGGAAGACCACCTCCTCTCCTCTATAGGTCTGTCATATAGCACTCATTTGATACTTAGTCTATGGCACCTTGTGTTGTAGTTATATATTTTTAAAGGATATGTCTTGTCTTTTCTCTTTAGCCTGATTTCTCTGAAGACAGTTTCCACATACATGTTAAATATGGTCTAAGTTACTGGGATCATTGCTTTCCTGTGATTTTTTTTTCAGTTTATTTACTTGAAATATGATTAATGTTATACTTTTGAGAAGTTTATCCTGGATGTATTGAATTTATCCGTTTATCCACAATATGTAAAAATCATTCTATATTTAAATTATTTTAAGAAATGAAATAGCAGGTAATTTCAGAGAATCACTCTTGTAATTTAAAGTTGATTCTTAAGAACAGGCAGAGATCTGCACATCACTCATGAGTTCTCAAGCTGTAAGCCTGTAGGCCTTCTTTTTTTTTAAAAAAAATTTTACTTTAACTTCTGGCGTACATGTACAGATCTTGCAGGATTGTTACATAGGTATAGACACGCCATGGTGGCTTGCTGCCTCCATCCCCCTGTCACTTACATTAGGTATTTCTCCTAATGTTATCCCTCCCCAACCTCCTCACCCCCTGCTATCCCTCCCCTAGTACCCCACCTACCTGTAGGCCTTTTTTATGTGAAATGACATGGCATGGTGGTGTATGGGTTACAGGATTGCTGGGCTATTGCTTCTTTCCATTCTTCATGTGGCTAGGAGGTCTGTGGTCTCCAGAGTACCTGTACCTATTACCACTGCTCATGAAATTCTTCATCTATTTGCCTGTATTCTATGCATTCTATCATTTTATACATGAAGGAAATGATGGGAAGACATTGCATAGGATCATTTTCTATGCAAGCAACAATGGGAAGAAATTGAAGGGCAATAGCTTTTGGAATAGTGCCATAGGCAAAATTCTCAACTAGGTGTCAGTAAAACTGGCGTTATTTTATATGAATGTTCCAGCCAGCATGAAGTGAAAAGACTGACAATAAACTTCAAACCAGGCTTTTATTTTTATTTATTTTTTACTGCTTAACTCCTAGGCTAGGAAGATGAATCTCGTTTCAGCTGAGATTTTGGATTCTAATATTGTCATCAAAAAGTTCATTGCATGAGACAATCTGTCAAATGCAAGATATACAGCATTTTTAAAAAAGACTACATCATCAATTTTTAAGGAAACGGTCAAATTACTTACGTAGATTTCTAGAGAAAAGATAGGCACTCATAAAAAGTCAGTATATAAATGAGGGTTAACAGAGCATCACAGGATTTATAAAAAAGACATAGAACTCTGAGATCTGCTACAGTCAGAGATAGCTTCCAGAGCAGAAGGATGCTGAATTGGCATTAATGGTGGGTGGGAATTGGGCTGGGGAGGAAATAGAATGGGAGCAAGTGGGAACATTTTAGAGAGCAGAAATATCTGGAACAGAGTGACCAGAGCTGAGAGTATTTTTTCAAACATTGTAGAACGAGTGGATGGATACTGATTAGAATCTTACATACCTGAACTATTTTTTTGAGTCTAACATTCTCCCAAATACTGTCGAATCATACATTCCCAAATATTTATTACTTATTTTCTTTATTACAGAAAAGAATATGAAGGCCTTGTAAAGTTAATGGAAATATTTGGGACTCAATGTAGTTATTTGCTAAGCAGAAAGGACATAATGGATTCCTTAAATAATGAGAACTTTGATCTGGTATTTGTTGAAGGATTTGATTTCTGTTCTTTCCTGATTGCTGAGAAGCTTGAGAAGCCATTTGTGGCCATTCTTCCCACCTCATTTGGCTCTTTGGAATTTGGACTACCAAGCCCTTTGTCTTATGTTCCAGTATTCCATTCCTTGCTGACTGATCACATGGACTTCTGGGGCCGAGTGAAGAATGTTCTGATGTTCTTTAGTTTCTGCATGATCCAACGGCGCATACACTCTACATTTGACAACACCATCAAAGAGCATTTCACAGAAGGCTCTAGGCCGGTTTTGTCTCATCTTCTACAGAAAGCAGAGTTGTGGTTCGTTAACTCTGACTTTGCCTTTGATTTTGCCCGGCCCCTGCTTCCCAACACTGTTTATGTTGGGGGCTTGATGGAAAAACCTATTAAACCAGTTCCACAAGTAAGTGAACGCTTACCATTCAATTTGGAATTCACACAGAGGCCTTCAGTGCATAGTTGGTGGCTGCCACCTGCCAGTGGGATCCTGAGGCTGAAGTGGGGATAGGCAATGGAGGCACCTAGGGCATGATTTTAAAGGAAGTGCTGAATTTCAGGGTTGGGCAGGTACAGTGTTAGGCCTTGCAGGATCCTGAGATAGATTTCCTTACTTTGGCTCCTCTCTTGCCATGCCCTGGTCTTAGAATCAGTGGGATGAGCCCTTTAATTAAAGTTGCTATTTCATTTTACTTTTTATTTTGTATGACTATGTGTAAAATACATATGTAGTTCATGCCTATTACATGCAATAATTGTCAAGGAGATGAGCCGGCACGGTGGCAGGCGCCTGTAATCCCAGCTACTCAGGAGGCTGAGACATGAGAATCACTTGAACCCGGTGTGGCAGAGATTGCAGTGAGCCGAGATTGTGCCACTGCACTTCAGCCTGGGTGACAGAGTGAGACTCCATCTCAAAAAAGAAAAAAAAAAGATCTTGGAGGAAGAGTTTCACAGTGAAACAGACAACACTGTGGATTCGGAGTAAGCAGGGTGGGACTGCATGGGACTGACAGCAAGAACTGCCGGTGTTATCTCTAGTGGTCCCTGCCTGTAGAGCCCTGGCTTCTGGCTCCAGCTGGACTTTCTGACTTGATTTGTCTGGGTGGGCTCCTGCCATTGTAATTTGTAAATGCTGCCCAGGTGATTCAAATGCACAGGGCAGATTCAGAACCACTACTATAGAAGGTTTTCAAAGGGAGGAGAGCTAAAATGAGTTGACAGTCTGTTGCCTCTGAGCACTGGGTTGCCATTTTACAGAAGTCGCCTTATTTAATATCTTGCCATCTATAAGGAGGTGTGATTATCTTCATTTTTATTAATGGCAGAGGACAGAAGCACAGGTGATGTAGGTGACCTTCCCACCGCTGTGTAGTGCAGAGGCCTCAAGATCCTGGATTTGGACTGGACTTTCTCGGTACCAAAGTGACCACTCTTCCTCCCCTGATCTTTTTTTTTTTCTTTTTTGTGATGGAGTCTCACTCAGTCACCCAGGCTGAAGTGCAGTGGCACGATCTCGGCTCGCTGCAATCTCTGCCATACCAGGTTCAAGCGATTCTCATGTCTCAGCCTCCCGAGTAGCTGGGATTACAGGCGCCTGCCACCGCACCGGCTAATTTTGTATTTTTAGTAGAGATGTGGTTTCAGCAACTTGGCCAGGCTTGTCTTGAACTCCTGACCTCATAATCCACTTGCCTCAGCTTCCCAAAGTACTGGGACTACAGGCATGGGCTACATGCCTTGATCTTACATTGAGTGAGTACGAAGAGTTGAGGAATGATCTATGAATGAGATGGTCTTTGCATTGGTGGTAGGTGTTTTTAGGAATGGGGCTGAGAGGGAAAGCACTCCAGGTCAGGGAGCAGGGGGCCTAACTTGTAGAGGTGCAAGTGAGATGGCTATGACCCTGGGTTCTCTGAGTGACACTGGCTAGATTAGTACAAGGTTCAATTGCATGAATAAAGCCATGGGGACTTACCAGAGGTCTTAGCTATCAGGAGGGTGGGTCAGGTCTTGGCATTGGGTAGTTGTGGAAATTGTTAAGAAGAGAATAATGGCAGTTGAGATTTTGAGATCACAGATGCTTGTTTTCCATTTTGTTCTCTTCTTTTTGATTATTTTAATTGTGGTCATATATGTAATATAAAATATACCACTTTACTTATTTTTAAGGGTATGCTTCAGTGGCATTTCGTACATTCATATTTTTGGGCAACTATCATTATCGTCTATCTCCAGAACTTTCTTTATATTCCCAAATGGAAACTTCCTATGCATTAAGCAATGTATTAAATAGAATGAGCATTTGGCTCAGTCATCAAAGGTGCGGTTTAGAACAACGTGCTTTCCATTTTTTCTTGGTGGTGCCATCCCCACCCCAACTCTGATAACTACAGGCATGAGCAGTGCACAGCACCTCCTCTCCTTATCCCCTCCCTTCCCAGCTTGGTACCTGGCTGTGTCCACAGCATGTACAAGCCATGTCCAACAGCCACAAGGGGTGGGAAAAAATGGGGCTGTCACTGGGACCCCGTGAACCAGTTGGCCAGCACCTCCTAGTGGAACTTTTTCTTCCTTGGCCAAGGAGTTCAGCCTGGCCTGCACTGGGTGAAGGGTGCAATGATTAAGGGAATCTATTTGTGCAGAGCAAGAGGTTATTTCCCCCAGGGCCTCCCCACTTTTACTCCTTAAGCTGTTTCTTTCTTTCTTTTCTTTTTTTCCTTTTCTAAATGAGAGGGTTCTTGTCCCCAGCACTCAGCTTGATAGGGAAAATAATGGAGGAGTGACCTCTGTTGGCTGATCACTGCAAATTTGGCAGGGCCCATTTGAGACAATCTAAACAGACACATACAACCCCTGAAATACATTTTTGTCCCAAACTCAATTCCAAGTCTCAGACTGAGGCCCTAGAAAGGAAAACCTGATCTGAGGGATCAAAAGCTGAACAGGCACTAGGTAAATGGCGTGACCACTTCCTGCTGACTAAACCCCCCGTTTCGTAGAGGGAGGCCATGCTCCATGGCATAAATGAAGCACAGGGAACTCAAAAGTTTTCAACAGCAGAGAAAATAAAGGCATTTCAATAGGAGAGAAAAAGGGCAGATAATTCCTATTCTGTAGGCCCCCCCTGCTTCACGGGTGCACACCACAATGGCACCTTTGGGTGCCATCCATCTAAAGTTGCCAGGAATCAGGGACAAACAGATAGAAGAAAAAGTCTCTCGCTTTCTCTCTCCCTCACACCCTGATTTTTCACAGAAAGAAGGAAGGGAAGTCAGGGATGCTTCTATTTCCCTGTCTTTCAGAATGGGCAACCAGTTCCCTTAATCATCCCCAGCTTATTCTCCTTTGGAGTGCATCCTGAGCCACTGAGACTGCTTTTAATAAAGTAGGTATCGGTGGAATGTATCTCAAAATAATAAAAGCTATTTATGACAAATTCACGGCCAATATCACACTGAATGGGCAAAAACTGGAAGTATTGCCTTTGAAATCTGGCACTAGAGAAGGATGCCCTCTCTCACTATTCCTATTCAATATAGTATTGGAAGTTCTAGCCACAGCAATCAGGCAAGAAAAAGAAATAAAGGATATTCAATTAGGAAAGAAGTCAAATTGTCTCTATTTGCGGACGACATAATTGTGTATTTAGAAGACCCCATCGTCTCAGCCCAAAATCTCTTTAAACTGATAAGCAACTTCAGCAAAGTCTCAGGATACAAAATCAATGTGCAGAAATCACAAGCATTCCTATACACCAATAACAGACTAAAAGAGAGCCAAATCAAAAAACGATCTGCCATTCACAATTGCTACAGAGAAAAAAATACCTAGGAATACAACTATCAAAGGAGGTAAAGAACCTCTTCAAGGAGAACTACAAACCAATGCTCAAGGAAATAAGAGAGGATACAAACAGATGGGAAAACATTCCATGTTCAAGGTTAGGAAGAACCAATATTGTGAAAATGACCATACTGCCCAAAGTAATTTATAGATTCAATGCTATCTCCATCAAGCTACCTATGCCCCTCTTCCCAGAACTAGAGAAAACCACTTTAAACTTCATATGGAACCAAAAGAGAGCCCACATAGCCAAGACAATTCTAAGCAAAAAGAAAAAAACTGGAGGCATCACGCTACCTGACTGCAAATTATACTACAAGCCTACTGTAAACAAAACAGCATGGTACTGGTACCAAAAAAGAGATATAGACCCATGGAATGGAAAAGAGGCCTTGGAGGCAAGGCCACACATCTACAACCATCTGATCTTTGACAAACCTCACAAAAACAAGCAATGTGGAAAGGATTCCCTGTTTAATAAATGGTGTTGGGAAAACTGGCTAGCCATGTGCAGAAAGCAGAAACTGGACTCCTTCCTGACACCTTACACTAAAATTAATGCCAGACGGATTAAAGACTTAAACAGAAGACCTAACATCATAAAAACCCTAGAAGAAAACCTAGGCAAAACCATTTAGGACATAGGCATATGCAAGGACTTCATGATTAAAACACCAAAAGCATTGGCAACAAAAGCCAAAATAGACAAATGGGATCTAATTAAACTCCAGAGCTTCTGCACAGCAAAAGAAACAATCAGTAGAGTGAACCAACAACCAACAGAATGGGAAGACATTTTTGCAGTCTACCTATTTGACAAAGAGCTAATATCCAGAATGTATAAAGAACTAAAGTAGATTTACAAGAAAAAAAAACAAACAAACCCATTCAAAAGTGGATGAAGGACATGAACAGACTCTTTTCAAAAGAAGACATGTATGAGGACAACAAACATGAAAAAATGCTCATGATCACTGGTCATCAATGAAATGTAAATCAAAACCACATCAAAATAACATCTCACACCAGTTAGAATGTTGATCATTAAAAAATCTGGAGACAACAGATGCTGGAGAGGATGTGGAGAAATAGGAACACTTTTACACTGTTGGTGGGAGTGTAAATTAGTCCAACCATTGTGAAGACAGTGTAACAATTCCTCAAGGACCTAGAAATAGAAATTCCATTTGACCCAGCAATCCCATTACTGGGTATATATCCAAAGTATTATAAATCTCTCTGTTATAAAGACACATGCACACGTATGTTCATTGCAGCACTGGTTACAAGAGCAAAGACCTGGAACCAACTTGAATGCCCGTTGACGATAGACTGGACAGGAAAAATGTGACACATATACAGCATGAAATACTAGGCAGTCATAAAAAATGATGAGTGTGTGTCCTTTGTAGGGACATGGATGAATCTGGAAACCATCATTTTCAGCAAACTGACACAAGAACAGAAAATCAAACACTGCATGTTCTCACTCACAGGCAGGTGTTGAACAATGAGAACACATGGACACAGGGAGGGGAGCATCACACACTGTGGTCTGTTGGGTGGGGGAATAGGGGAGGGACAACAGGGAGTAGGGGAGTTGGAGAGGGATAACATGGGGAGAAATGACAGATATAGGTGATGGGGGAATGGAGGCGGCAAACCACATTACCATGTATGTACCTATGCAACAATCCTGCATGTTCTGTACATGTACCCCAGAACCTAAAGTGTAACAAAATATATATTTTTAAAAAAAGAAAAAAAAAAGAAAATTGGGCATTTGAACAACTAGTTACTTTTGTAAGTCTTTGCAGTCTGGCATGGAAGAGCATGTTTTAAGTCTTTTGATCAAGGTTAAGGTTTTCTTAGTTTTTTTTGGTTATGTATCACATCTGGACATTTGTGTGTGCTTTCCTGTATACCCTATTGTTTTAGAATGCCTTAATTTCCCAAATGAACCTCACCCAGACTCTTCTTGGACTTTAGACAATCTGTTATATTCTTCTGCCCATAATCTCTTGACCCAAGCCTTCACAGGGCTCCAGTACCTCTGAAGCTTTCATGTATCATGGTACCTACCACTGCCTTCTATGGCACCTGTTAGCTTGAAATCTGAGCTATGTCACCACTACCAATGTGAGCTCTGAATCAGGTGAGACAAACCTGTCACTAAGTAGCCAACAGACAGGTTAAAATGTTGTAAATAGTTTCTATTCCACTCCTTCTGACTGAGGGAGGGAACTTGGAATTGAGGTTTTGCCTGTGGACTGTGGCCTGCCACTCCAGGGCAAAGGTAAATAAAATGCATTAGAAATGTGCACTGTTTGAAAGTGGCTTTTTCTTGATTGGGCATTTGGTTGCTTGCTGTATTTGACTGGTCTTCAAAACTCCCTATGGTGTTACTTTAGTCAGTCTCCAGTTGATTTTCTAATGCTTTCCTGAAAGAACAAGGGCATGCAGCTTCTGATTCACATTATTGCTCTGCTTCTTTTGATTTTATATAATGATTTTATAATTATAAGGACAACAAAGCTGTTTTCAGTTTTTTTATTAAGCTGATAGTTCAGGCAGTGTTATGTTGGATGGAATAAAGTCATCCTGCAGAATGACCCAGTAGGACGAGAGGCTCAGAACTAGAGACAATCACAAAAATGCTGAGAGAGGAAGAGTCTGAAGGAATGTTTGCAAGTAATAATTGATGAAGCAGTGCTAAAACTAAGTTTTAGGGCATTAGATCATCATCTTTCTTAAGAACTACCTGAGGACCAAAATAGATTGGGGTGGCTATGCTAATATCAGACAAAATAGACTGTATGTCAAAAATATTTATAAGAGATAAACAAGGGGATCACATAAAAATATAAAATTTAATGTTTGCATTAACACAAATAATTATAAGTATCATTTAAAAATAATATATGAAATATCATCCATAATACATAAATACTATAAATACATATGCACCAAATAACAGAGCACCAAAATATGTGAAGAAACAATTGATGGAATTGAGGAAAAAATAGACATTATTACAGCAATAGCTTGAGACTTTTAATATCCCATGTTTAGTAATGGAAAGGTTATCTACACAAATGATCAATAAAGAAATAGTTATCTTGAATGCTGTCAATAACCAACTGGACCTAATAGAAATATAGAGAATACTCCACCCAACAACAGCAGACTACACCTTCTTCTCAAATGCACACAGAATATTCCTCAAGATAGTCCGTACATTAGGCTACAATTTAAATATCAATGTATTTCAGAAGACTGAACATATCAAAGCATTTTCTGTGATCACAATAGGATGAGGTAGACATCAATAACAGAGAAAAAAACTAAAAAAATCACTTTTATAATTTATATGCAAAATCATGTCCTGAGGTATCAGAAAAATGACTTCTAGGTCATCTAGACACAATATGAACACAGTGCAGAGGACACTGAGCTGTGCCAGGAGCTATAATAATAGCTTCAGGACAGTGAAGATAAGACTGATGGGAGGATATGTTTGGTAAATAGTCTGGGTTCCATTTCATGGCCACCTAGGCTTTCCCAAACAATTTTGTCACCTCTTCTCTTTTGTCATCTCTCTCTAGGACTTGGAGAACTTCATTGCCAACTTTGGGGATGCTGGGTTTGTCCTTGTGGCCTTTGGCTCCACATTGGACATCTATGAGTCTCAAGAAGTCCTCAAGAATATGCACGCTGCCTTTGCTCACCTCCCTCAAGGAGTGATATGGAAGTGTCAGAGTTCTCATTGGCCTAAAGATGTTCATTTGGCCACAAATGTGAAAATCATGGACTGGCTTCCCCAGAGTGACCTCCTGGGTAAGGACTGCTCAGTTCTGCTCTTTTCTTTCCATTGACCTGTCTTTGGTGCTCATCAGTGTTCTGATCTCTAGCTGGACATTTGTACCAGCCTAGGAAGTAGCTACTCATAAGTAAAAATAAGGCTCAGAGGGCAGGAAAAGAACAGCCAGCTGGAGTTCTTTGGGAATCAGGCTATCCTTCAAAATGGTGAAAACAGCCATTTTCTCTTTTTTCTTTCTAACTGAGGCCAGGCCTGGAATCTCCAACCAGAGATGATATTTGGTCATGTTGCCTTGACCCCACTACATTTGACTCTAAACAGGGTCACCCTAACACAATCTAAGACAATATCTAAACTCCAAGAGCATATATCTGGGGGTATGTTGCTCCTGTTCAGTGGCCTCTTGACCACCTATTTAACAGTGTGCCATTACACAAAAACACATATACCTGTATAAATACACCTTCCTTATCTACTAAGGATATGAAGAACTCATACGTTCATAACATTAACATTGACGCCAGCATTGAAGGATGTACTATGGTACATCCTTGTGCCAAGCTGTGTAATCACATAGCCAGGTATTGAGTCATTTGGTAACAGAGCTCCTTACACTTCAATAGGTTTTATTATCCTTGTGATATTTTTTGGAGACCTCTAGCTGACATCTTCAGTGACTGGATCTGAGGTTCATAAAAAAGTTTATGGCTCAAAGTCAACTTGGTAATTTAAGATACAGATTTCTGTATATTTAATTTTTAAGACCTGGGGCAGGGAAAAATATTTTCATTTTCAGAGGCATACAAGTAGATTCGAATCCACATTTCTGTTGAGAAACACAGATTTAGCTCTTCATTATTAAAAATCACTAGCTTGCTCTAAATAAGGGTTGTACAGGCAGACATGAACTAGAAACACAAAAGAAGAAGCATATGGTTTATTATTCCTTGCTTTCATAACTTCTCTTCAAATGGAGAAAACTGCATATACAGTGTAGGTATTATGAAAGAACAGAAAGCAGAAAGTAAAGGGAGAGATGAGGTGGGGAGAGAAGGATGGCTGCATGAATAGAGAAATATGCCTCAGTTATCATTCTTCTCTGCAGCTTTCTCTAGATTTGGAGTCTTGGATGGTTAGGGTTGAGGTGAGGAATCTCTACAGAGAGGGACGCTGGAATCTTGTATCCTAGAATGTGTACCCTTAACTGTCTTCCATGCAAAATCAGTGAATTCATTTTCTCAACAGATGTTGATTCCATTGGTGTTTCATCTGCTTTTTCTACTTTACCTGGTATTCCAAAATTTTTCATTCTAAAGTGTTCCACTCTCTTTCTTATTTGCCACAGCTCACCCCAGCATCCGTCTTTTTGTCACTCACGGTGGGCAGAACAGCATAATGGAGGCCATTAGGCATGGTGTGCCCATGGTAGGATTACCAGTCAATGGAGACCAGCATGGAAACATGGTCCGAGTAGTGGCCAAAAATTATGGTGTCGTTATGCAGTTGAATCAAGTCACAGCTGACACACTGGCACTTAAGATGAAACAAGTCATAGAAGACAAGAGGTATGTGGCTCTCTGAGCATGTAGTCATTAAGGCTGAATGAAGATAGAAAGCACAAGGGATACTCTGTATACATTTTCCCAATAATAGCTGAAGCTTCTGTGACATGGAATCATATGTGTGTGATGCTAACAGCCCACCTGTGTTCTCTAGTAAGTCTCTAGGAAGATTCATTTAGGTTAGATGCTAAGAATTGCTTTCCTACCTTAAGGTTGTGATGGTGACAAATTATATACACAAGATCTCTTTGACTGTTATTATATTTGACAGTCCCTCTAGTAGAATTCCAGCTGAAGAAGGGGGTTTCTTTGTGTTTCCCCAACGTGCCTCTGGCTTCTTTTTTGGTGCTGCTTCCTAGAACGCCCTTCCCTTCTGTTTACAGGACTGGCTCCTTCATGACATATAGGTCTCTTTTCCAATGTTTCCTCTACAGAGAAGGTGGTGTCTTTGATAATCCTAACCAGCCTCCTCTTCCACTCAGCCCAATCATAATATACTATTTCCTTCCTTACGCTTTTCAAGATTTGTAATGACTCCATTTATTTAGGTTTTTATTAATTGTCTGGCCCCCAACACTAGAGAGTAGAGTCAGCTTCATAAGTACAGCAATGTGTCTCTGTTTCTTTCAACTATGTTACCAGTACTTACTGCAGAGCCTGCCACAAAATAAGTTTCCATGAATTTCAGTTAAATGTGGAAATGAAAGAGACCTGGTGATCCCCTTTTTTACTGCCCATCCAGCCAATGATCTTATAATCAAGGACGGAATAGCTTATTATGGTTTCAGGAACACAAACCCTGAATCAGGTATATATTCTCTCATATATGGTTATATGTATTTTTTTCCTTTAGTATACCACAAGCATCCTGGGGATATCGACTCATTTTTAGAGATTTAATCAGTTTCCTACAGTTTAATACTTTTAGAATTAATCATTGATCTTTGTATGTAGGTGTTTTTATCGAACTTTTCAAGAGGATTCAGCTAGACAATGGCAAGACCAGGCCAACAAATTTTCTTGGCAGCCCGGCCTTGGTGCCTGCGTTAGAAAAGTGTTTGTATGTTTGTATGTGCGTGCTCACACAATACAAAGTCTCTAAGTCTTGTGAGGCTATGTCAGTAACACACCCTCTTTGTCTCTGCCAACAGGTACAAGTCGGCAGTGGTGGCAGGCAGTGTTATCCTGCACTCTCAGCCCCTGAGCGCCAAACAGCGGCTGGTGGGCTGGATCGACCACATCCTCCAGACTGGGGGCGCGGCGCACCTCAAGCCCTATGCCTTCCAGCAGCCTTGGCATGAGCAGTACCTCATTGACGTCTTTGTGTTTCTGCTGGGGCTCACTCTAGGCATTGTGTGGCTTTGTTGGAAGCTGCTGGGTATGGTGGCCAGGTGGCTGTATGGGGTCAGGAAAGTGAAGATGACATGAGGCTAGGTGCAGCCTTGAGTGAAGGGAGGGGGTCTCTGGTGCTTTGAAGGTTCTCCCCACTCTGGCACAGGCCACTCCTGTGTTTCTCTTTAGCTTCAGCTGCCAATGGTCCTGCAACTTGCTTCTTTCTATTATCTGCCTCTGTTTAGAAATCTTCACGCACTACTCAGGCTTCTTGACTTGCCCCTTGTGACTTGGAGCCCCTAAATCAGATACAAACCTTCACCTGCCAGTCCTGCATCCTCCTTTCTCCCTTTTTCTAGAGACAGGACTTTGACAACTTCATCCTTCTTGTTTAGATGACTTCTCAGTCTCCAGTCCCCATTTCTCCTTCTATCATTTTTCATAAAAAACAGAAAATATTTGACGTATCTTCCATTTCAAATGCTTTCATTTTATGCATATATCTTGCTCTTCCTATAAGTTCTCAAAGCTCAAGAAGCTTGGTCTGCTCTCCTGCATTTAGACAGAGAGAGCCCCTGCTAAGACCTTTGCTCACTGCCTGAGACCCCTTCTCTGGAGAGCACCTCCTTTGCTGGTCAGACACGGAGACTGCAGTTGGTCCCAGCTGATACTGCTTCATTTCAGTTTTTGCAGTTTCCTTCTTAAGATTCCCATCTTATAAATGGATTTCAGGGAACCTCAAGCAGCGAAGTGGAAACCCGTGTGTAAGGCGTTGTGGCCTCAGGTAGAGTGGCTAAGGTAGTTTTAAAGACTTTGTTGATTTAAGAAAAATTCTATCTTCTATTCCCTACATGGCAGTTAATATCCTTATAGGTGGTAAAACCTTAGAGATTACATTAATCTGCTAGGGACAGAAGCAAGAAAAACCATGGCATAAACACACGCAGAGTTTTTGTTTGTTTCATCTTTCTTGATCAAGCCCAAAGGTAGCCTGTTCAGGGCTGGTGTGGTTGGTCGCTTCATCGTGTCATCAATAGCCCATATTTTTTCTTTTTGATCTTCCTTAGTGTAATATGAAACTACCTCTCTAATAGCTGGTGCTCATGAAATATTTTACCTTCAAATGATTGTACCTTTTTATTTGCTTTAGCATTCTGAAATAAAATAAAATTCCATTGTAATGAAACTGTGAAATGCATGGTATCTGATGAGCTAGAAACAGAGAGAAGAAAACAGGCATATGGGGTGGGCCTGGAAGAACCACAGTTTGATTGTTTAATTCTAGAATTGTGAAACAGATCTTGAAACAATTCAGATTAAAAGATGAAACCATTACAAATACTTCTGCAGAAATGGAGAGTGCCCCCCACCAAAAACTTTGCCAATTCCACGAGACGATTTGCTTGCAAGTCTGCAGAGCTGAGTGCCGCATGTCTATCCATTTTGTGAGTTCTCATGACACAAGATCCAGAAACATGAAGCATGCAGAAGCATATTAGGGTGTGTGTATATAACATAAGGTTTTATTGCTATAATTCTTATGAAACCACATGAATTAATCTATGGCAATACTCCCATGAAGGGCAGACATGGAGCCTTCTCTGTGTTTTGTTTTGAATCAACAACTACGATTTCACTCCTCTCATGAACAACATAAGGTTCTAGGGATAAGGCTCCCTGGCCCGTAACTCCTTCTCTCCTATCCTAGCATATAGTCTTTCCCCGAACACTTGGTCATCAAGGTCAACTTTGTGCCAGTTGTCTGTATTTGCATCCCTGAAATCTGATCATAAGCAGCCAGTGAGCCGGAATGATGCTTTCAGTCTTGTTCCCTCCAAGCACCCTCCACAGGGCTGCAAGCATGGCCCTGGCAACCTAGAAATCTGGTGTTATCCCTCACTGTTTAAAATCTTTGTTCCCACTGTGTGGAATATGAGGAATCTGTGATTGGTTCCTGGCTACCTCTCTAGGCACATCTGGAGCAATTCTCCTCCCACTCTTTTCCAAGTGTTCACTACACCCCTCAGAACACACTTTGCTGTTTTTAACCTCTGGGCTTTGTCTAAGCCCTTCCCTCTCTCAGAAATATCATCCTACTCTTGCCAGAATGAGAAACTTCTGCTTATTTGTCAATATCCAGTGTTATTGTGTTCACATTGGTAAGCCTGTGCCTGACCACTACACCCATAAAGGAGCTCACCACATTCTCTTTTGAAGCATTTTTCTTACTATATTTCAATTATGCATTACAATATCTGTTTCCCTATTTAGAAACCATAAGGTCATAAAGACAGTAACTGGTTCCTATTTATCTTGTTATTACAGAACCTGGCATAGTGTCTGGAACAAATACTGCTGGGACAACTAGATATTATTTAGAAAAAAGGCAATATTTCATCCAAACTTCACATCATATTAAAAACTGAATTCCAATACACTAGAGATCTAAGTACAAAAAATCATATTATGCTAAGTCTAAGAGAAAAAGTGAATTTTTCCATAGCCTGTGTGTAGGGAAAGACTGTCTCAATGTTTCCTAATGCATTATTGGAGGTCCAAAAATAATAAATGGGCTGGAGCCTTTGATGCCTGGTAATGCCTTGTGGTGACTTCTCCTGCCCTCCACATCAACTCCTCACTGCAATGGACATGGCTATGTTGCAGAAATGTTTAAGGATGCAATACTTTAAATAATTCAGATGTTTTAAAATATCTGTAATCCTTTTTAAAATTATTATACTTTAAGTTCTGGGGTACATGTGCAGATCGTGCAGGATTGTTACATAGGTACACACACGCCATGGTGGTTTGTTGCAACCACCCCCGGTCATCTACATTAGGTATTTCTCTTAATGTTATCCCTCTCCTATCCTCCCACTCCCTGCTACCCCTCCCCTAGCTCTCCCCCCGCCCCCACCCGCAACAGGCCCTGGTGTGTGATATTCCCCTCCCTGTGTCCATGTGCTCTCATTGTTCAACACCCACTTATGAGTAAGAACATGTGGTGTTTAGTTTTCTGTTCTTGCGTTGGTTTGCTGAGCATGATGGTTTCCAGCTTCATCCATGTCCCTGCAAAGGACATGAATTCATCCTTTTTATGGCTGCATAGTAGTCCATGGTGTATATGTGCCACATTTTCTTTATTCAGTCTATCACTGATGGGTGTTTGGGTTGGTTCCAAGTCTTTGCTATTGCAAATTCAGATTTTTTTTTTTTAAAGACTTATAGACAGAAGACATGTAATAGTGCAAAGCAGAATTCAAGGGCCCACTTCATCTTGTAGGCATTGAAGGATTTCTCTGTAATTCTGTTGTTTGTTTTTTAAATACAGGATCTCAATATGTTACACAGGCTGACCTCAAACTCCTGGGCTCTAGCCATCCTTCTGCCTCAGCTTCCCCAGTAGCTGGGATGACAGGTGCATGCCACTATGCCTGGCTCTGCCTGTTGGGAATTGCGCTGAAATCCTTTATTTAAGGCAATATTATATTGAGGATAGAGAATGCAAAGATGATATTTGTGAGCAGTGTGCTCATGCCTTGCCAGGACTGATATTTCAAGGGGGCAAAATTGTAAGCTGTTTTCAAATTGTCCCTGAGAGGACTGTGGAAAGAGCCCCAATTCCATTTTATGATACTTATTCAGGATTATAATCTAAACTTTAGAGATTTATGCTTTCAATGAAGAAGTGAAGTTACGGGGGGGCTTAAAGCATTTGGACACTAGAATCATTTTATGAATATGGTATCTTCTAGAGAGGCTGACTGAGTAATAATCATAGGCCATTTCCCTTGGTAGATCAATTTCTCTTGAGGATTGGCTTCCAGAGTTCTTGAGCTTTGGACACTAGCTAGAAATTTTATGCACGTATCTGGAAAAATGGAGCATAGGGATGTTAGTATAAAGTTGTGAAAGTTGTCAAGATCAAAATGGAGTCACCTGTGTTAAAACCCTAACCAATGGAGCCAGGAAAGGCCATGAAGGGAGGTTCTCATACAGTATGCCTGATAACAAGAACTATCACATAATACTCCAAAAACCACAACCTTGCAGTTAGGCCACTGTGCTCTTACACAAAAATATACTTCACTGAGGATATCTTCCCAGCAACTGCTATCTTACCTTGGACTGATGTTACCCTTGTTATTGCTCCTTCTAGCCAAGGATAATTGTCTCAAAACAACGTATCTAACCCTCCTCATTTTTCATGTAAAAAGCCTTATTATCTTCCTTTATCTCCCTGAATATGCCCATGTGTATTACCGTTGCAATGCCCATTTCTTTTAAAGATGGCCTTCAAAAGGTTTCTTTTAGAAAGCCTCTCTCAATGTAAGTTATTTGAGTTTGACAAGGTCATCGGAGTAAGAAAGGAAGTGTGGCACCATTAGTTCAGGAAAGGATCCGTAAAAGGGAGATGGGTCCTCGTCACCTCAAGGTGCGGCTGTCATCCATGTGGTTTCTGTTCTTGGTTCATATTGATATTTAGGAGGGAGAGTGGTGCTTACATGGTTAGGACAGGGTTAAGGGTTCAGTTCACCAATCCCCTTTTTCCATTGCCCCTGATTTGGGAGGGTGAGGATAGCATATCTCATGTATCATAAACTGAGGAAGAAGGGGCAGAGGGTGAGAGAAGGTAGACAGACAGAAGAGAGACAGGATCTTCTCTTCTACCCTTCTCAAGCCGATAGCCAGTGCCTTTGGTGCACAGCGTCCCTTAGGCCGGGGCAGGGCACACAGCGTCCCTTAGCCCAGGGCTGGGTTCCAGGGCTTCTGCAGGAGGGCATGGCTGGGCAGCTGGGTGCTGCTTCTAGCAGGCTTCCTTCTCCCTGGGATCTTGCTCTCAGAGGCCGCCAAAAACCTGACAGCATCCACACTGGGTGAGTGCTTGGCCGGAAAATGCAGGGACAGGCATGCTCCAGGCGCTGCGCATGGGCACTGGCAGTTCTATCGGAGGGCCATCCCGGTAGTTTCCCATGCTGGGCTGGCATCTTGGGCTGGAAAGGGAAGAGGCTGGCCGAGGCCATGGAGCCAAGAAGGGCCCCTAACCCGGGGTGGAAAAGACAGTTTTGGAGAAAACGGAAGTCTCTTTTCCTCTCTCCCGCAAGGCTGGAGCCCCTAGTTTAATTTCCCAGTCCAGTGCATTCACCCAGGGCCGCCTTCCTCACAGTGCTGGAGAGACGTTCGGTTGCTCATTCCATTCTTCTTGGTGGGTGCAGGGTAGTTGCCAATAGACATTGTAACAAGCATTTTCAGGCTCTTGTAGGCCGAGGAAAGCTGCTCTTGGGCGTGGCACAGCAAACCAGGATTGTTTTCGTCCACAGGAAACCCGGAGAACTGACTGGGGTGAGAGGACCCCTGGACAATCGGGTCTTTGGAAGCCCTTTTGTCTTTCATCCAAGCTACTGGAAGGTTTCGAAGGATAAGTGAGGCAGTTAGTTTTGCATTTTGTGCCCCTATTTTTATTTCTTTTACTTTTATCCCCAAAGGAATAGAAGATAAAAGAGAAAATATGTCAAAGGAAACAAGGGAGCTCCCCAAGAACCTTCTTCAGCCCACCCTGAAAGGACAGTGGGCTCTCTCTTAGATCAATTTAAGATCATTGAGAATCTGGGATTCCTGGAGCTGGATGAAAGGAAGGAGTTCATTTAATTCAGTCTTCCCCTTTCGTTTTCCTAAGGGGGGAAATACCAAGGATTAGGGAAATTGAGGCATCATTTACAACCGCACACCCAGCCTTCCTAGTGGCCCATGTGGAATTGACTCAAGATTCTTTACCCTGAGGCTGGAGCGGTGGCTCACACCTGGAATCCCAGCACTTTGGGAGGCCAGGGCGGGTGGATCACCTGAGGTTAGGAGTTTGAGACCAGCACGACCAATATGGTGAAACCCCTTCTCTACTAAAAATACAAAAATTAGTTGGGCATGGTGGCGTGGGCTGTAGTTCCAGCTAGTCGGGAGGCTGGGGCAGAATAATTGCTTGAACGTGGGAGATGGAGTTTGCAGTGAGCCAAGATAGGCCCACTGCACTCCAGCCTGGAAGAAAGAACAATACTCCATCTCAAAACAATAACAACAACAGCAACAACAACAACATAGTTTTAGAAAGCTGTGACACCGTGGTAACCTTTGTTTTGCTTGTTTTTCCTGACCATTCGGAGAAATTAAGAGCTTATCTCTTCAGTTGTACTGCTCCCCTGC